GTTGTAGCCCATCGAACCTTGTCGTGTTCACCAAATACTTCTGCAAATGCCTCCAAAAAGGTTTCAAAGTTGTTTAGTATGGACGATCGTTTCTCAAACAAAGGAGCAAACCATGATAGAGCTTATCCTGTAAGTAAGGTTCCAACAAGCCCAACACGTGACTCCTCCGTTGGATAGCGTTTGGGCTATAAAACTGTTATCAACCTGATTTGGTTGACGAATCCTCGAAACTTGGAACGTGTACCATCGAACTTGTCCGAAAGGCTAACTCGGGGTTCTTTATGTTGTAGAACCAGCGGTGCTTGTCAAACCTGAGGCAAAGTTGCTTCTCCAAGTGTAGAAGTTTGAGGCTGGTGCAACCTAAATTGTGCCATCCCAGATGCTCCATCATTATGAAGCCTTGCCACGACTCCTTCAATCTCTGCAATTCTTTGTGATAACGTAGCAAGGGCATTCATCATAGCATCTAACTTGAACTCCAAAATTTTCGTCATACTAATGTCTTGGCCTCCGGCCATTCTAAGAGAAGGACAAAAATGACTCTACAAAAAGATAATATTGGTTTAGAGGAGGGTACTCCGCAACCTCTAAAATGCCTTAAGAGCTTCAAGAAAAGGGGTAATCCACTCTCTCCAAGAAGAATAAGACTCCAATATTGTAACAAAAGAAGTATCAGTTTAGAGGAGGGTAATCCGCAATCTCTAAAGTGCTAGTACACTTTCAAGCAGAGGAGTAATCCACACTCTAACAAAGAAGAAACTAGCTCTGATATCTGAGGTGAGTGTAGTCTCGACAAACTGTCACGGACACAGAAATACAGACTCGAGATCTAACAAGAAGTTCAAGAAGAACTGGCAAGAATTAGATTAATCAGATGAGAACAACACTAGAGAGGTGAGCTAGAGCTCCAAGAGATGTGTTGTCGAGACTGAAGAACTCTTCAGCCTCGATCCCAATATATACTTCTATTTAGGAAGCTTCTCAAGCAACTTCTACCAACTAGGAAGCTTCTAGAAGGTTCTAGAGACTTGTTTCTAGAAGGTTCTAGAAGCTTGTCTCTAGAAAGTTCTAGAAACTTGTCTCTAGAAGGTTCTAAGGACTATGTCCCTAACATATCGCCACCAAATGTCTACCATATCTCTCAAATAACTAGCTCATATATAATTTCTTCAGTGATATTTACCCCAAGTAGTTGGAAGTATTGTCACATGTTGAAGAGCCATTGACATACATCTTCTTGTCTTAAAATTCTAAAGTATGTACTATGCTTATTCAATTTCAATCTAACAGATGACAACTCTCTTGTCTTTGAGGCTTCTATTTGCCCTTGTAAAGTAGCTATCTAGCCTAAGAGGTGTTGTATTTGAGCCTCCATTTGGAATTGCTTTGCCATATCTCCCATACTATAATTTCTTTGCTAGACTCCACTATTGTAATGCCTTTTCACCTCCCAATTGATTTTTTAAGAGTAGGTCATGGTAGCCTTAATTTATTACTCAATGTAACTATAACAATTGACCTTGGAATAAATGATGAATATTGACATACTACCAAAAGTAAACAATCTAACACTTGCTTTGATACTAATGAAATAGGACCAAACTATCTCAAAAACTCAAGATCCTTCTAAACCACAGCAACATAAAGCCTCATCACAAAATAGGACAAAATAGATCAAATCAAAACTAAATGGAATCAAATAGAATAAGACATGAAAGACAAATCTAAGCAAATAGAAACCAAATAAAATAGAATTGAACAGAAAGATGCAAAACCAATTTTTACTAAGAAAAAAGGTCCAAAGCCAGATCTAACCAAATGCCCCAAAAGGCCCTGACTAGTCCTATTTATATCTTATCCTACCACCTAGGGCTTTTTAGATTGTTCGTAGGTAGTAGGCTCCACCTAAATAACTGCCTTAAATTTCTTTTTTAAAAGATTCTATGATAGGCCCCATCTCAATAATGGCCCTAAATTCTTCTTAGAATGTTCTACAGTTGATCCTACTTAATTCGCTAACCTAACTCCAATTCTATAAACTTCCTTGCTTCTAACTATCTATACAATTATCTTATCTATATCCTATTACAAAGAATTTGACATAGAAATATCTCAAGATTAAAGATAAAAAATGAGATTAATAGCAAAAATAGTTCCAAAGACTCCTATTTATACTATAATGAAAGTTACAAAAGTCTATGGTACTTTCTATAGAAGTTTCTAGAAGTCTAAAGAGGCTTCTAGTAGCCTATGGAAATTTCTAAAAGATTGTGGAAGATTTTATAAGTATTTAGAAGGTTCTAAAATTTGCAAAAGATTTTAGAAGGTCCTAGAATGTGGTAATTTCGAATATGTCTATACTAAAAACTGTGATTAAGAATGGTGCTTTAATAGGTGCTAGTAAGCATTAATGATGTCATTAGATTAATAATAATATTATCATAGTAAATCTGATGATAGAATGCTATAATGTTGAGTAATTGATAGAATCCAAAAATTAGACACCACTCAAAAAGTTGTTTCAATATTACTCCAAATTAGATTGGTCATAGCTTGACAATTACCTATTGGATTCTTTTCAACTTGCGCTCATTTGGTAGTTGTAAAGGAGTATTTTATTTGCTATACAAACCACGTGTCATTAATTACTACAATTTTTCTATAATATACCATTCTTTCCAAAATATGTCAACATTGAAACAATTTTTTGAATCACTATATATATGATTATACATATGAATATTTTGTGTTAAAGTTGCAAAGAGTATCAATAATTAATAGAATTACTTGTACATTATTTATCTAATTTTTATTAGACAATATATATATATATATATATATATATATATATATAATTTTTTAGAAGATGGTAAAATAAAATAAAATAAAATGAAACTTGATTTAATAATCTTTAGCAAAAGCTAAAAAAAATAAACAATTTTCTTGTTAGGATATTAATTTTTTAAAAAAAGTACTTTTAAAATGGCTTTACAAAAAATAAAACGTGATCTACATAGGATATAAATGATATAATTTAATTATTTTTGATTGTGTTAGTGCAAGAGGGTCAAACAACAAAGAATAAGCAACCAACAACTTGATGAAAAATTCAATGATTCTAAAATGAAGAGAGACTCTGCAGCATTTTTTATTATTTTAATTTAATTTAAAATTTAATATAACCTTAGCCAATGTATAGTTAAGACTTTATTCTCTATTAGACATAAATAAAGTTATATAAACCAAGTCATCAATACTCTTAATCAATTTAGGCTAGTATTAGAATAAAATATCAACCAACTCAAAATTATATGTATATTATTATAAAAAATATTTTAGACCACCTTGAACAAATTTGACATTAATAAAGGTTGTTAGAATCTAAAGACATAACCAAATTCTTCAAAAAAAAATTGTCTTAATTTACAAGCATACAATGTATTAAAAACAAAATCAGTATATATATATATATATATATATATATATATATATATAATTAGATTATTAATAGTTTATTACATTAAAATAGTAAATAAAATTATTATTAAAAAAAATTATGTTCATGTTTATACTACCTAGATGTATGGAGAAAATACATTGTAATTGCATTAAATTAGATAAAATCTTTGGTTGAAAATTTCTTTGCACCAATTATTAATTTTTAGCACATTCTAAAGTTATATAGATCTTATATTATAAACTTTAGAAAGAAATTGAATTATATTTAATTAATCTAAAAGATGCACCAACAATACAATATTTCTTGCTAACGAGATTATTTTAGAATTAAATAATTTCTAAAATATTACATAATGGACTAAGTTTCTTGTGTATAAGATAAATGGTGGCCAAATTGTACTTTAAAATTGTTCTTTGAAAAAAATAAAAAAATAAAAACAGAAGTAAAATAAAATAAAATAAAAAATTGGCTTAAAAAATTAATGTCAGATTGATAAAGCATGACATTCTATAATTTAGTATCTACATATATTCTAAGATGTACAATCTTTTCAAGAAATTTTAAATAGATCATCGTTATAGGACTCAAATTGACTATTTAATGAATTCAAATATTTACAAAAAAAGCAAAAAATACATCAAAAATATATATATATATATATATATATATATATATAATTAATACATAATATGTAGTATTTTGAAGGAGTGAATAATAAGTTTAAAAGAAGAAGAATATATATATATATATATATATATATTGTTTAGAAGAATCAAACAAAGATTTTTGAAATCTTTATGATAATGAATTTTTAAAAATATAATATGCAATCTTGATGCAAGTTTTGAGCCACAAAAATTAAGAGACTAGATTGAACTTTCCAATTCTTTGATAAAATCTTACCTGCTAATAGCGTTCCAATTGCAAAAATATAGTTTATTTTCATATATTGATTCTTTCATCACCCTATTGCAACTTATTGATGTAGAATAATTCTAAATAAAATAGAATGAAGCTCTTGATTGAATCTAACGATTTGATCAGACAAGGATTGAAATCTAGGCAAAGATAGAAGCTATGCTTTTCTAACTATTTAGATATACAGATATTGTAATGAATATAATAAGGCCCAAATCCACTCAAACATCTTATTCTTAAGCTGTTTTTATACGTTTTATAAATACAATCACATATAAAGAATATTAGATTTGGTAGTATTCCTCACTCATAAAATGATCTTAAACAATTTTTAAAAATTAATTAGATAACTATCACAAGAAAACAAACAATTTTTGCAATCCAACTAATTGCTAATTTTATAAGCTTCAATATTACATAATTCTTCCCACAAAAGCTTTGCATGTAAAATATTTAGGACTAGTGTGCACCAAGAGCTTTTGGAGAGACATGAAGAATGACATACAAATAAGACTGATCTAAACACATGTATCAAAATATTACAAAACCTCTTAGGAAATAACAAAAAATAATGAAAAATAAAAAAACAACTCAACTCAACGGCAAGTTTCCCTGTAGGATATAGTAGATCATAAATATACTAAGTGAAGAGACAAATATTTTAACGGAACAATAGAAATACATCTATTGGGATCATAACTCATGCACTACCAAACCCATGGTTTCAATAACGGAAGGCTACTTGCTCACTATACAATGCACCAATGTCCATACAAGGGTGGTAAGACACTAGTAGCTCATGCTCCTTTCTACTCTGTTCCTTCCTACTTTAACGTGGCAGACTTGCTCCATACATGTCAAAGGAAAAAAAAGAAAGTTGGTAGACGATTTTGATCTGTAAAAATCTTGATACTATCATCAATTTGCTCCATGGTTAATGCCACAAATACGGTGGCCTTTTGAAGTAGGTCATAAATGTGAAACCTGAGTAAGATATAATGCTTCTGTTTGCATGACTATGGAGAAGACAGATGACACAAAAAAGAACACAGCGAACAACTCTTACTAGGTCTAGCAACGTCGGCAAGCTGAGCATTTGCAGGCGAAGCTAATACTTCAACTGACCGACAAGCCTTAGATATGTATCTCCATTCAAGAGAACTCAGTCTCGTTTTTTACGGTGGGTCACGTTCTTCATAAAACTGAACGCTGTGAGCACCGCTACCAATTGCAACAAGATACCTGCACACAATAATTTATGGTCAGAAAAATGAATTTCGTGCACAGGCAAATCCAATATCACATAAACCAAACTACTGCTCACTAGATCTACCAAAGTCGTTTCATGATACAATGTTCAGTTTCAGACAAAGACCAGCTACAAATATGGAAAGCAATGATGATAACAGAATTAAAACAAGTCAAAATCGACTCCAGCAAATCCAGATTATCAAATAACAAAAAGAAGAGGTAAAAGCACGCAAACTATCACATAATATCTTCTTGAGGTTGAAGAATGCTTTCAATGTCTCAAAAAGTTACCTATCAATTCCAGCAAACCCTCAAGGGAGAGGTAAAGGATTCGTTGGTAATCGCCAGTAACCTGAAGGTACTCCCAATTATCTTTCCACTGCAAATTGCATTTAGACACATCAGCAGAAACCTCAACAATCATAGCAAATGCATGATTAACGTTATTATGACATGTCGAAAATAAGTCCACAGAATTCGTAGATACTAGTATAATTCAATGGTTTGAAAAAAAAATAGTAGGAGCTTGACCCCAGTAAATAACATGTAGACGAGTATGATATAGCGCAACTATTAGCCTTGCACTGCCAGGAATAATATGTTTCACCACACGCTGGTGAATACTCAAAGCTCCAAACATGACACAGCTAATAAAAGCCAAGAACGCTTCAGAAACGCGATAGCCACCATAAATTCACAGCCATGTTTTGCGAATTGGCTTGCCTTTCCAATATAATTCCCTGATGCGAAAGGGACTAGCGACAGCACAACAGCGATCATTGTCAACAAGATGTAGAATCTGAGCAATTTAGCGCCCCCTTTTATCCCTGTTTCACCAGTAAATCAACATATATATCAATTTAACAAAGATTTATTCGACTCAAACTCAAACCTTATTTGAGCCCTACGCTACTATAAAACAAGAGGACGAGCGTGAAATAATAGGTACCTAAAGTCCCTAATAGCACTGCTGCTCCACCAAACGCACAAGACGTCACCAACTCGATGTTGGGAGTGTCTCCATTGAGTGCCCCTAGACATGCCCATGTGGCCTTCAAGATCTGCAAGAGGGCCTGCCAAATGTAACATGATTAAAACACCACCCAGCATGGATAGAAGAGACAAAATCGGACTATGGCATGTCACTGCAGTCATGCAAGATCTACTGCATGTTTTTTTCTACGAATTTCTATACCCAAATGTTGATTTTAGTTTTCCGTGTTTTCTCTTAACCCGAATTGTTAACTTTGTTGCTTTCTTAGAATGTGGTTGCAAACTTTAAGATGAGAAATCAACAAGCCAAGGATACCAAGTGCCTGAGTGACTGCTCTTCCCATATAGTGACGTAAAGATCACAAGCTAAATTCCTAAAGCAACAGAAATAATAAAGGTGAATAACCACTGCCCGATTTCTTCGCGGCCATGATTTCGAGATATGCGTCCGGGTTCCCAAAGAATCTCTCTTTCAGAAACTCTAGCATACTAACACCCATTCGAAGCCAGAACCATCAAAATCTAGCCCTAAACTATGACAAAGAACAAACTGGGGTATCACCTTCACCTGAAAGAATCTACGAACTCTTCTCTCAGATCGAAACACGATTAAATAAAGCTGAAAGAGACTACAAAACAACAACCATCACCCATCCATGCTTTTTACCAGTCCTCACCAACAAATTCCAAACGCCCACGAGAAAGAAAGAAATAAACAAAAAAAAAAAAAAAAAAAAAAAAAACAGAAGAAGAAAAGAAGGCGCATAACACAGCAGCATTCTCAATTACCCACAAATTCCACAACTAAACCAAATACCTGCACTGATACCAACCTCCGGAGCGCGACACGCCCTTCCGCCGCTCGCTTGTACCCTACAACGGCCCAAATCAAAATCCAATCCCTCAATCAACAAAATCACCCTCCCCGGAACTAGAAAAACCCTACAACTACACGGGAACGGATCTCAAACAAGTCACTCGGATCCAAAACCCCAAATACGAACAGGGCAAGCGAAGGGCAGTGGTGACCACGATGATGCTAACTCACTGTCTTCAATGGTCATGCGGTAGGCGAAATCGTATCCATCCGTGCCAACGGGCCTCCCCCCGTCCATCCCGATTGCCTAACCCCAACAAAATCCCTCCTTTCCTTCCTCCCTCCCTCACAATGAAACCCCAGGAATAATAATAACAACAATACTCCAAATGCACCCCCGCCCTACAGATCCGTCCACCCTCTACTACCGCCTCACCGCTTGCCGCTGCAGCAGTGCTGGCTTATGCTTGTACCCACCATGCTAATCCCCGTGTTATGTCCCACTCACTCACTCTCCCACTTCCCCTTCCCCTCTGCGCATACAAATTCTGCCTGCCTGCCTGCCTGCCTGCTTGCTTGCAGAGCTGCGAAGATTCGATGCCCAACGCCACGGCGACGATGAAACCCTAGAAGTGCCCTCCCTCGCGCGGAGGAGTCGCCGTGCCTCTCTCCCTTTGCTCTCTTTCTTTCTCCTCTTCCTTTGAGAGTGAGTGAGTGAATGATTGAGAGTGTGTGAGAAGAATGCGTGTGTTAGTGAGTAAGTGAGTGAGTCTGACTGTCTGTCTGAGGACGCTTTGGAGCAGCGAGGCGTGGACTTAGTACTGCCCCCTTGCCTTTCTTTTTTCTCTTTTTTAATGAATAAATCAACAATTTCTCTTTGCATTCCACACCACATACCCTCCTCGGCTATACTATTCACCTCTGTCCCCGTCTTTGCTGGCACTTATTGTAGGAAATCGAGTGTTTCACGGGGAAAATTGTTGTTGCTGTTGTTGGGTTCCTTTCTTTTCTTGTTGTCTTACGATTTCTATAGCCGAAATGGGCTGTTGATTGTGTATGGCAAGTTACCACCCAGACGAAAATTAATGTGTAATTGTATTGTGATGATATTTGATATGTGATTATATTTTAAGTAATCCGTGGTTTTATAATTTCCTTCAATTAACGTGTTTCTTGCAGCTCTACTGATGAGATTTAGTTTTTGAATGTTAAATTGATGTTTAGTTTTAATTATGGATTTCTTAAATGGAATTATGTGATAAATTCTAGCTGTGAAAAGTTAATCATACAAGTTATAGTAACATTTAAATACAAAGATTTTGATTTTTTTATTAATCAACCCATGTATGAATCCGAAACATTTAAATATTATTCCTTGCATATCTCATCACTTTTATGGTTTTTGAAATATAAATAAAAAATTAAAAATATACTTTAGATCTTTTATTATGTTGAAAATTTTATTTGTATGCATGTTTTGGTTTAATTAAATAAAAAACTTCAACATCATATCTTTTCGTAACATTTAATTTTCATGGCTTATTTATTTTGTGATTAACTTATTTTGTCTTTTTAATATTAAATTTTAATAAAAAATAATAAAATTCACATAGACATGGTACATGTATAAATAAAAAAATTAAGTAAATAAATATATATATATATATATATATATATATATATATATATATATATATTCATATATTCATAACTAATAAAAAATATAACTTAACTTTAAATTATATTTTATCTTAATATGTAATGCATATATTTAAAATAGTCATATTAGTCTTTTCTAAAGAATTTTTATCAAATAACTAATTATATTTATATCTTTTGATATTTAATTTTTTTAATAAATAATAATTCTTTCCAAAATTCTTTTAATATCTACACTTGTTTATTTTTTCTTAAACTTCTTTTAATCAATACATTATACAAAAACTATTATTTAAAAAACACAATATGTATATATATATATAAGTTTATTTTTATAATAATATATTTATTTTTATTTAATATAATAATATATAAAATAATATCTTTTGATTTTGTGTACTAAATTGTAGTTTTTATTTTTATTTTTATAGTTTAATTGAAAAAATAAACTTTATTACTTATATTTATAACTTTATTACTTATATTGAAATAAATTTATCTTAGATTATTTAACTTTTATCTTGGATTGTACTTTTGCTACTACCAAAATTAAACTACTACTAAACTATTATAATTTGATGATAAGGCCAAATCTTATTGTTTTATTAAATTGTCTTTTTTTACAATCTAAAAGTATATCAAAGATATGAATCACAAGCAATAAATTCTTTAATATATTCTTGTGTTACTAGAAAAGAGTAGATAATCACTCAAAGATGGTATAGTATTAAATTAGAATGGCTTTTGTTAAAGATAAGAAAACTAATGACTCTTAAAATGAGACTAAGAACAAGAAAAGTATTGACAAGAAAAAAGAAGACTTCATTCTTGTCTCTATATATACCATCTAACTAGAAGGTATGTGAGAATATTCTATAGAACCTTTAATACGTGCACAACTTATAAGATAAGTTTCTTATACATGTATTCTATGGCCAACTATCAAGAACATGAAGCTCAAAGAAAGAAATCTTCAATACACTCTTGTGTCATTCAAAAGAATAGAAAAGTAATTTAAAGATGATATAGTATTAAATTAGAATAGCTATTACTAAAGACAACAAGAGTAAAAAGTCTTGAAATAAGACTAAAGACTAAAAAAGTGTTGACAAGAGTAAAGAAGGCTTCACTTTTCACCTTTGTATATACTCTTAACTAGGAGCTACATAGGAGTATCTTGTAGGACCTCCAAAATGTGTTGACTTTGTAAGGCACATATCTTAACTTACAAGGCAAGTTTTCTATATATGCGCCACGTAGTTAACTTATTCCGCAAGCTATTAATACGTGGTTAACTTGTTGATCAAGTTTCAAACCTATCAATTAACTACAAATACATATAAAATCAAAGTAGTATATTTTAGATATACATAGGTATTCTAATAAATATATTTATAATTAGATTGGAGTAGATAAAAGAAGATAAAATTAGGTTAATTTTATAAGACCTTCTAGAGAAGCTTCTTAGAAGCTTCATAGACATTGCTTTTACTTTACATGTGTCTGTAGTTGATTGATAGGTTAGAAACTTGGTCAATAAGTTAACCACATGTTAGTAGCTTACAGAACAATTTAATTATGTAGTGTACATATAGAAAACTTGCCTTGCAAGTTAAGATACATGTCTTACAAAGTCAACACGTTTTGGAGGTCCTATAGGACATTGCCACATAGCTCTTAGTTAAGATTATATAAGAAGGCAAGAGTGAAGCCTTCTTCACTCTTATCAATGCCTTTCTAATCCTTAATCTTGTTTCAAGACTTTCTAATCTTCTAATTTTTTGTAATAGTCATTTTAATTTAATATTATATCATCTTTTGAGTGACTTTCTAGTTCTTTTCAATAACATAAGAGTGTATTGAAGATTTTCTTTCTTCAAGATTCATATCCTTGATAGTTTGACAAGAATTCTAACTTATTATTTATGTCTTGTTTTAGAAGTGAGTTGATTATCTTATTTTTATTGTTGTATTTTAAAGGTTGCAAATTAACCACCTTTAAACAAAAAAAATCTTATTTTTTAATACTAATCTTTTCTTTAAAGAGAGTGGATTATCTCTCTTTTTTAAAAATTTTATTAGAGGTTGCAGATTACCCTCTTCTAATTTAACTTTTTGAATTTGTTTGAGTTGTTTATAGAAGGTAAGATTATGGATGCTACTCTTAGCAGAAGTATGAATAGATTTGCAACTATTGCACATCTTCAAGAGCTTGTTAATACTCTAAGAGTAGAAATTTCATATATTTTCAACGTGAATCATGGAGGTACTATGCCTATGCCTATGGAAGAAGATTAGAATTTACAGCAAGAAGTTATACACTTAAAGGAAGTAAGTAGATCAACCTCATAACCAAATCTAGGGAGTTTTTGCTACTACAAGTATGATAGAGACAAGGATTAGTATGCTTGAGAAGTTTGATGGAAGAAGATCAAAATTTTGAGGCTTTTTGTAACAAGTCAAGCTCTATTTCAGGTTGCATGCTTTCTAATATCCCGATGGATTTACTCAAGTTAGATTCATAGGTGCACTTCTATTAAGAAATACTCTCTCTTGGTTTGTACATTTAATAGAAAAAGATTTGTGACTCTTTTATGATTTAAATTCAATCTTAAAAGTGTTTACAGCCATATTTGGAGAATGTGATAAAAAAAGAGTAGCAAAGACCAAGCTCTTATATTTATGGTAAGGATCACAGTCAGCTATCATATATGCTGCTGAGTTCCAAAACCTTACTTGTGATGTAGACTGAAATGATAAAGCCCTTATCAATCAATTTTGATATAGATTAAAAGATAATATCAAAGATTTGTTACTGACAATGTCAAAGACAAAATCTTTGGAATAATTTATTGCTTAAGCGATTACATGTGATAATCTATTATATGAAAGACATTAAGAACAAAGATTTGGTTAGAGAATAACAAATCAAATATTAACGACAACTCCTAAGTTTTTATAATCTTATTTATAAAGGCAAAAATAATCCAAATTGATACAATATGTTTTAAATCCCTCATAAAGCAAGAAAAGAGTCAACAACATCAAAAAGGCTTATACTTATATTGTGGAGAAGCTATGCACAATACTCAATATTATCCAAAGAAATAATACAATTACAAAATGAAAAGCTTGATGGCCAAAGAAGATAATGTGTCAAAAAACAAGTTGTTCTAGCTATAATAGAGATGGTGCAGCTGAAATCATATAGAGGTCCCTATAGAAGTATCAAATAGTGGTAATAATAGTTTAGTAATATTTAATGTAATTAAATCTCCTTTTCATTCAATTATTTTAGGATTATTGTGGTTAAAAAGATATAATCCTCAGATAGACTAAATTTCTTGCAATCTTGATTTTTTCCATAGTTTAGTCCAAGGTCTTACTAGGCAAGTAAAAATCCATAAGTTTAATACATCCAAACTATTATTAGTAGGTGTGAGAGCTTTCATACATGTCACAAATGAAGGGCCATCTTTTGTCATATATACTATATCTATTGTTGATAGTGAGAAGATATCAAGTAGTATTCTTGGCCAGTATCAAGATTTTTAGAACATTTTTGAAAAGAAAAATGCTTAAATTCTTCCAAAGTATTGTCTTTATGATTATTCCATTGATCTTGAAGAAAGAACTCAACCACCATTTGGACCAATCTATAGCCTATTACAAAATGAGTTGGTTGTACTCAAAGAATATATTGATGAAAACTTGGCTAAGAACTTTAGATGTTATTTTAAATTTCCAACCGAGGCTCCTATTTTATTTGTGAAGAAAAAAGATGGATCTGTACAGATATTTGTAGACTTTCGAGAACTTAATAAGATCACCATGAAGAATAGGTATCCTCTACTTTAATTTCAAGACTTCTTAATTAACTAAATTAAATAAAGATCTATATAAAATAGATCTACAAAGAACATATAATGTAATCTACAGCAAAGAAGAAGATGAATAGAAGACTGCTTTCCAAACAAGGTATGGATATTTTGACTATAATATCATGCCTTCTAGATTCTCAAATGCACTAGCTACTTTTCAACATTTAATAAATGATATCTTTTATGAATTTCTTAATGATTTTGTTGTTTGTTATTTAGATGGTATTTTAATCTATTTTAAAAATATAAAA